GGGGGGGGGGGGGAACCTGGTCTGTGTCTGAACTTTACGATGAGGGTTCCCAGAATGCAGCCTGCTAACACTGTTGATCTGTTCTCTTCGAAGCATCTCAGGCCCTGGGACAGACCTATGCAACTTTAAAGATCCGACCGTTGATCCACGGGACAAGACAGTCTAAAATCAAGGCACTTCAGCGACCAAGTATGCAATCTCTTACTTATTCCTTGTTTGGCATATTACTGATCCCGAAGGGAGGGTAGGGGGGCTGATTTTATTGGAATTAAAACTTGTACTGCTTTAAGAATGACACTTGGCTCCTTTCAGTCTTATCAATGCACTGCTGCAGGAGACTTAGCTGAATCCTGTTGTGCCTCATGCATCAGTAGGAAAATAGTTACCTTAATTCTGCACTTGGAACGTTTCTGGTTGTGAAGATCCTGAAGCCAGAGAATCCTGATAAGGGCCCAATTTTTCTGTGCTACTTGGTTGTCTTGTGCTTAACACAAATGAAACTAGCGTACAGGAACACAATCTGCTTTCAGCGTTACCGAGCTTGCATACATAATTTCCTTGAATTGTGCTAAACAATTAAATTTCATAGATCGAATGAAACCAATGGCAGTTGTGCTTTGGTTGGCATAATTTTATTTTTCAGTATCAGATGAAGATAAAACTGTTACTTAAGCTTAGCCATTCATATTTAGTAACATTTAGTTCATTTATTACCTTATTTTAAAATCATACTGCAATCACTTGTCTCCCACAATAAAGTTTAAAGGTCATGAATCTTGTAGCAAGAGAGAATACTGAACATACAAGCATACTCTTATTCCTAGGGTACATTGCAGTCAAACAAAAAGTGTCAATATTAACCATTTAAAGGGACTCTCTCACATTTAGTATTTCCTGAGTTACTAACATTGCTAGAATATTTAAGAGAATGGGATTTGCTTTCCAACCTTGTTCAGCTAGCCTGATGAAAGGACTAATCCAGTCTCACTTCCTCAATCTCCTGCACTAGGCTAATGCTGCAATATTTGGGTTGCAAACACTCCAGAGGAGTCCTGAAATTAGAACAAAGATGTATTCAATTAAAATCACATGCTTTCCCCCAAAACATTTCCACTTGGATCTGAATTAGCTCACCCTGTCCCCCTTGAAGGCTGGTTGAGAGTGATAGGCAATTTATTTTCCAAACCTTGAATCCCAAACCTTTCTTTTAAAAAAAATATTTATTTTTTTAAGCTGTTGGGCTGCCCTTGGTTGTGGGGGAAAAATGTCTTCTCAAAATCTAAAGCAGAGCTCCAAAAAAAACTGGATACATTAAATTTGTAGATAGTTACTTTTAAAAGATTACATTTTTTCAGCTCCTTTGCATGTGAAACCAAGACTTCTTAGGTTGGCAGTTTTGAGCTGGTCAGATTTTGGCACTTGTTTCTTAAATAAATAATTTCAAAAACTTTTAATAAGTGAGGTGATGACTAGTAACTGTTAGCACATGACCTCTTAAAACCGTTCTTATACCTCCCCATTAAAAGTGTGCATTAATAGCTGAAGTATTTTACTTTTCCACTCTGCCACTTGCTGGGGGTTTGTAGTGATACTTTTAGTGCATTTCAAATAAGATCTGTTTCTACACGGGTAGAAAACTGGATAACACCATAGATTTTAGTTGATAGTATTGGTAAAATATAGCAATTCAGATGCTATGAGTGTTTATTAAGCTACTTTCAAAAGAGAACCTTAAAGATTAGCAATCACTGCAGCAGAGGGCTGGAGTTTTCCCTGTTTGAATGTAGCCTTTTGTACTTCCATGGTGCCTTCCATCTGTCAACCGTAAGCATTTTACAGACGCTAATGAAGTCAGCCTCCCAACAGCCCAGGGAGGCAAGTCTTTGTTACAGGAGGTATTTGAGGCACAGAGGTAAAGTGACTGGCTTATAAATCACACAGCAAGTCAGTGGAAGAGCTGGGAGTAGAATTAAGCCTTCCTGGCTTCCAGCTCTGTAATTTATCTACAAAAGTATTCCTGAAATAGCAAGATTTAATTCTCCTTCCTTGCTAACCATTTCATTTCTGAACCATTCCATTTAGAGCTTCTTCAGCTTGCTAAAGAGAGACCCCAGACAGACACAGCAGTGGCTAGAAGGCTGGTGACAAGGGCATTGGGACTACAGCACAAGAAGCAGCGGGCCCCTGGCAGTGAAGTGTTACAGCCAGAGAACGTGGACCAGGAAGAGTGAGCCAGATGAGTGCGTCTCTGCTATTAAACTGCATGCAGAACAGTGAGTTGTCATTAGGACATTCTTCTGTGGGTTAGTGTGGTGTTTTCTTTCTAAGTTGGCAAGGGAAAAGTTTACTATTTTTGAGATGTCCAACTCCCTCGTTGCATTCTGGGAACCAGGCCTTTTAGGATTTTCAGTGTGCTACAGCAGTATGGGCACAAGGGCCACCACTGCTCTTCATCACGGAGAGCATCGTATCCTGTCCCCCAGCAGCCAACAGCCTCCCAAAGCAGCTCTTACCCATTTGGGCTTGATTGTCAACACACTTATCACGGGGCTGGGCCCCTTGCATGAGCAGAGCAGGGATTGCCCAAGCCTCCCAGAGGTGGTCTGCACTGAATCCATCCTTAACTCATGCCAGGGGATCTCTGGCCACTAAGTTAGTTCTATACATGTAAAACGACAGTAAGAGCTGCTCTGGAAAGAAGATGGAGAGGGACAGGAGGAATGTCTTTGGCCAAATCTTGACCTTAAGCAAAAGACACAGAGCAACACACTTGCAGGAGTCGATATCTATTTAATGTTTGCTTAAGTTGTAAAGCTGTTTTTTCCTTTGTTTAAAATAAAGTTATACCACAAAACTGATGAGCAGCAAATGCATGGAGAACCTTCATTTTTTATATAAAATACAGTGTATTTAACCAGCATGATCAGGTTTGTGGTGTCGCAGTATTTCAAGGAGAGTTCTTTTCTACCGATTAAGGAAAAAGTCAGAACTTGACATTGTGCTTTTATTGTTATAGAGCCTGATCCTGAGACTCTCCCCCCCACCCCTCATTGCATTCAGAATGGAGGGTGCTTGACCTCCTCCGGTCTCAGGCCTTCAGTAAACAGTCTCACCCTTCCCCCCGAGACAGCATGGCGTTTTCCAGGTTCCAGTAGGCTAAAACCTTTGTTCAATGCCAGTATACAGGCACTGGATGAGTATTACGAGCACCTCTGACAGGCAGTAACCAATGATGGAACTGGCATCCTTTAAGCCTCACAACACCCCTGTGAGGTAGGTTACAGAGAGCAAATATTTGGTTAAAGGGACACAGCCAACAGCAATCACATAACGGACTGAAACCATTTAATCTGTTGTTACACACTTAAGGCAAGTCTAGCATTCAACAGCCATAGCTGTTGAGTCAAATTCACAGTTTCCTGTTCATGTGGGTCCTTTTTTCCTTTTTTAAACACGCACAAAGGGAGGGAGAATTCCTATGCTGAAACATAATTAAGGCCACAATAGTGTCATGGTGCCACAGGACCTGGTGCAATACCTGTATTTAAAGATGAAGGACTTCAAGCCACTGGTGTCTCTCTACACGATTTCCCTGAAGTCCAATCCAGTGGGAGTAGAACCCAAAGATCCTGACACACACAGTCCTTGGCTCTACCCACACAGTGGAGAGGAGACAGAATTCAGCAAAAATACACATACATTGCATATAAAGCATTCTTCTGCCCAAAACAGATTTTTATTTCAAGTAGGTGTGTGTCTGCAAACACTGTTCTGCCTCAAACAAACAGAGGAGTACAGTTAGCACCAATATGCAGTTATGGAAGTGTAAAAGTTATCAACTTATGGGTGGTCTGACATAGCATGTGGTCCAGATCTGTGACAGAAAAGGCCAATAAGTTATCTTTGCAAAGTATATTGGTGTCGCACTTTAACATCTTTTACAGAAAAGGCACCAATCTAATATCCAGCTTAAAGGTGCTGGAAGGAAATATACAGCTGCATGCAGGATTGGGTGAATTATCTTGCTGTGGAAAATAAATATATTCTAGTGGACTCTTGCCACAAGGAGGCATACGAGATTTCATGAATGAGTTGTTGCTTCGTAGAGGTCTGGGAATCTCAGCACTGTGTAAGTACACAGTGCTGAGAGGGCCTGCTTTAGATGTTAAGAAGATTGCGATGCAAGTTGTATTTGGATCTAGAAATTGTGCCACAGCATTACATTACGCTTTCTCCCCTCTTTTCTCAGAAAGGCTGCTCCAGTTTTTCTCTTAGACAGACATACTGGCCACTTCCTTGCTAAACTGGGTATTTGTATGGCATTATTTCCAAGAAGCTATATCACAAATGTAGGTTTTTGCATCGGGGCATGCTCAGACTTGACTTAAAGCTAAAATATTGCGAGAAGGGGATAAGGCAGCCAAGGTTGAAGTGCATTTAAAAGTGGAATACAGAAATGCATGCCTATTATCATCACCCAAATGCAACCACCATACCCATAATCTGCTAGCTGCAGCCTAGAAGATTTGAAAGAGAGGAAGGGAGCTCTAGTGAAAGGTAAGACTGGACAGATAGATGAATATGCAGCCCGATTTTTAGAGGAGTAGGGCCTAGTGGAACTACAGCCTGGTCCAAAATCAGAACATTAAGGATGAGGATTACAGAGTTAACTCCTTATTGTGCTGAGCACCTGGAATAAGTATGGAGGGCATCACTGAAAATAACTTACACAGCTAACTTAAGTTCATGATTGCTTGCTTGATTCTTTTTCTGTGCAGTGGTTAGGGAAGTCACTGAGAGGCATCCCTGCTTCCTTAAATAGAGTGGGGGGCGAGGCAAGGCTGTTCTATCGAGTGGACACGCGATTATTTGTCAGTCCGCTGAAATGATCAAACTTCTCTTCTGTTTCTTCGCTGAAGGAGCCACCTGTGGAGGCCAAGGAGACAACACTGCAGTCAGAAAAAACTACCTAAATTATGTGCGTTACACATGGATGCAGAATGCATCAGGCCACTGAAATATTAGGGTTATGTAGTGTGCAATTGCTTCCGTAATGATGCTGTGATAACACACTCTTTACCTTTCCAGCATCTTTCTTCTGATAATGGAGAGCTTGAAGCATCAGAAATGGTACAGATAGGAAAGCTTAAACATTAGGTAGTAAAGTGATTTTGCCCAGGGCAGCACAGCTCTGCCTGACAGTCACAGCTTGGACCCAGAGCATTCTGTTGTTATGGATTTCATTGACAGCCCTTCTTTACCATGTTCTTGTAAACTTTAAAGGCCCCATGTTTTGAATGTTTATGAGGGTGACTAGACCTGGCTTTCTGGCTTATTTTTCACTCAGTTGATCTCTACATCATGGAGGCAGGAACTATATGCATGTGGCATGTTTCATCTGAGAATCATTAACTGCCCTAAGGAGATTTCATCTAACATTTTCCTTCGGATCCATAAGTCAGCCTTTGCATGCAGCTGGAAACTGGAACTGCTTCTAAGTAAATGACTTGCCAGTAAGACATGGTGAGCGAGCATTACTGAAGCCCAGGAATCCTGACTGCCCATACCTGCTCTAACCTGCAGCAAATGCTTCAAGTAATATAGCTGTGCTTCAGAAAGCTCAGCTCACTACATCATCCCCCTGCTTACCTATATGGCAGTTATACATCCAGATGCGCTGGCCGTCATATCGGCTCCTGCATTTCATCACATTGTTTGAATAATCAGATTCCGCAACTTCATAGTTTGGATTGATGACCACCTGAGAAAAGATTAAAGTTATCATGGTCAATTAATGATGCGCAGTGGCCTGGAAATGGCGTAAAAGAATTAGCTAAAGCTGGTTAGAAAACAAAAGAATGAAGAATATTTTTTAAAACATGTTCCTTGCTCTGGCTGACACCACAAGAGACTTCCTTAGAGGACACAAAAGAAAGAAGGTAAGGTTTTCTCCTTAAACTGAAGTAAGGTGTACAGGGGAGACTTCCCTTGTATTCAGTTGCAATATATCTGTAAATTAGTAGTGCTGTCTCTGCCCCGGTACTTGCCAACACTGGAAAAGAATATTTATGCTTGTGGCATGGTTAGGCATATCAATCTATCTTTAAGGACAGGTGGGAAATGGCAGTGAGGGTGCTGTGGCATGGACTGAATGCAGGCTGGACACACCTGCTGAGAATATACTTGCTAGGTATGTACTGATGTGACCAAAACCAAGCCTGTATTGCTATATCCTCATTTCTAGCTTTGTTCTTGCTAGTGAGATAAATGTATCCACTTGAGCTACTGTTATCACCGAAGACAATATCTTCCCTTGCAGCACAAACATACTCTCCAGAAACTTCCTAGCTCAGGAAAGAACTAAATGTATTTAACTGGACTGCAGGGAAGACATTTAAAATCCCCCTCTCTCACAAAACTGACACAATTTAAAACTGAATGGATTCTTCCTGCACCTGCCACTTGGAGGGCGACCAGGGTCCTATACTCGATTCTTTGTACTGCATTGTGAGGTGAAAACAAGGCATAAGAAACATGCAGTGCTTTCACTAAATTTAAAGGAGAGAGAAGGCATACTTCTCATCTCACAGGTTCTAAAATACTTTGATTTCTCAGTTGTGGGCCCAAAACCACTTAAGGAGATTCCATACAGATCAGCAATAATTATTTGGGTGCAGGGTATATATCTATAATTTTAAGAAAATTAAATTTACAGGAGAAGCCAGTTATGTGTGGTCTGTAGGTTCTTTAAAGTGGTGCTTTGGGGTTTATTTTGGTGGCCTGTGAGAATTGCATCCTCCAATGACAACCTACTGTTCTATCCAGCAGTGTGCATTTATACCAGTTACCTGTGTCCTATGAATACCTTCAACAACCTCAGAAAAATTAGGTAGTTCTCAAAATGCTGCTCAGGCAAATGACTGGGCTGTTTTTCATGATCTGTCTGCAGTTCTGGTCTCACTGTCTTCAATGTATTGTGAGATATTCCTATCCATCTATAGAAGAGAACTAGTTTGTTGCCGACTCCCAGTAGGTAAGAGACATCAGCAGTTTGCTTCCCAGCTCTCCCTGTACCTGGAAGAGGTAATCTCCTGGTGGAGTATCAGTAATATCAATCCACTGGCAGTCAATATCATGGCGATACACATCCCAACATCCAACTGAGATCCCTTGTTCACCAAAATTGGCACATTCATACTGTTTCTGCGCATCTGAAAAAGAAAGAAATATAACTGCTAAGTAACATCAGAAAAAACAGAGTCTGTTCTGGATTTGAGAGGCACTTAAACTTAGCTGAAAGAGGCAATAAAATGCATCCCTTAGGGCATCAGTAGAAGTACTGCCAGAAGAGAGAGAAAAGTATAAGTGATACCATACAAGGCACTGGGGAGAGCTCATTTGAAATGCTTTGTATTATTCTGGTCACCCATGTTCAAGAAACATGAATTTAAACAAAACAGAGGCAGAGAAGGCCTAATGGGATGTTAAGGGGAACAGAGGCCATCTTTACATGTGCTCCAGGGTCATTCATCAAGATTACTCAAGTCTGGTCCAGTGTGTGCTAAGTAACATCCATCCATCCGAGCACGCATCACACGTGTATAGATGCCCAGAGAGTCTACCTTACACCATAGACTAGAAGAGGTTGGCTTGCCTAGCATAGCAAGGCTATAAACACTTCAGGGGGTAAAAAATGAGGGAGGGAGAAGACAGGAAGAAGGTAAAGGACAACAAGAACAAAAGGGGTATAAAACCAGCCATGAAAAAAATTTGAGCTGGAAATTAGAAGGAAGCTTCTAACTGGCAGAACAAGGAGGTTCCATATAACCTGCCACTAGGTTGCTTTGCCCTCACTAATCCCGGCAAGCAGCAAGATTAAATTTGTTGAGCTCATGAAGGGAACTGGATAATGTGGGCCCTATGTTTTCTCCTTGTAGAGATTATGGACTCAGCACACTTAAGATGGCACCTTTTGTTCTGAAGCTATGCAGCCATTTTGGGGTTGGAACTCAGCCACTTCCAGTTGTCATGAGGAGGCAAGACTTATCCCTTTGAAACTAGAGACTGTCGGAAGGCAGACAGAGAGAACCTCCTCTCCTGGATTAAGTCTAACTTTGCAAAGATTGTCATTGGGAGGACTTGGGTCTCCTCCACTGAGCTGAAGTCAGCACAGGCCTTTTCTGGGCCATGAAGTCTGCGCGTATGAGTATATGTTTTGGTGGCTGGGAACAAATGCACATAACCTTGTCTCCTGCCAAACATCTAAGGCTGTGTTTTGGAAACACTGCGTTCACAGGAGTCAGAAATACAAGGCCAGGTAATTCAGAAGTGCTCAGCTCCTAATGCAACAACGGCCAGATTTTCAAAACCATTAAGCAGCCAATAAGATGCAGTACAGGGACAGGAGTCCCACAAGAGCTCATCACTAAGGACCTTTTGTAAGGACAGGGATACTGTTAATGTTATGCTGCTGAGACCAAGCATCCTTGGATCCCAACCACTCTGCTCTACTTGGCTTCAAGTGCAACTGCAGTTCTTGGGGGATCACTTTGCAGAGCTCCTAGAGCAGTGATTCTCAGCTCAGGTGCCAGGGCACCCTGGGGTGCCTTGAGCTCCTTTCAGTGGTACTACAGGGTGCCATGCAATGTTAGCACTGTTAGGTGTGCAAACATGATTTGCATGATAAACCTAGAAATTTCAATGACGAATCCAGAGTGTTAAAAACATTCTTCCCTTTTGTGATCTTTCTGAGTTCTTTGCAACAGAAGAATTGCTCTTTTATTTTCCTATAGTCCAAACACAAGTGAAAACTAACAGCTGGAATTTTCCTAGGGGTGCCTCAAGTCTAAAAAGTTTGAGAACCACTGCCATAGACTACTAGCAATGAACTCGGCACAAGGCGTCTATACTGACAATACCTGCTTCACATTCACTGTCTTCCAAACAGAAACTGGCTTTGTGTCCTTCAGCTATCTTGGTCCCATTGAGGTTCAGCAGATCATAGTGTGTGAAGACTTCCATACTGTGATAATGCCTGTGAGAGAGAAGGAAACAACCATCTTGAAATAGGGCTCAGTTATCCTGCAAGAGCAGGACAAGAGCACCTTCTACCCCAATGTCGCTGGGACCTTGGCATCTGGGGTTCTGGGCACTCCTCCTGTCCCCAGCCGAGCTGTTGCATTTTGCATGAAGTAGTCAGTGGGTAAAATACATAGAGTAAAATGCACAGTTACTCTGGTCCTTTGAAAATGGATTTGAAAGAGAGAGATGCATAGAAGTGTCAAAGGGACTGGCTGTGCCATGGCTACTGCAGAAATCCTGTGCAGCCTAGTGCTCTTGACCAGAAAAACCAGTGCACCAGAGCCCATTTCCTAACCAGCACCGGGGGGAGCAGAGACCTCCCCATGCAGCACCGCCAGTTGTCCAAGAGTGGTGCGAGTAGAACCCAGTGGCCCATATCCTCCAGCCAGATGAATCCCTCAGCAATAGAGGAAACAAGTACGTGCTTCTAATTAAAGCTTCAAACCCAGCCAGCTGGAGCCAGGAGCCCATTCCCGTCAGCTGGAGCTTGCAAGAACCCGGTGTGCAGAGCCCTCGTAGCTCCCTGCCGAGAGGAAGTTTTACAAGCGCTTAAATTATAACTTTACCATGCATAGTTTATTAAGCTGCTGCAGCAAGACCTCAGCTCTTTGGAGACCAGGTCACCTGCTTTGGCTTAAAGCTAGATTCAGAGGCTGAAACTTAGTTATCTTTCAGTGCCTGATTTGGGCACAGGCGTTTCCCTGCCCCAGATAACTCTGAATGAGAACCACATTTCCTAAGAGCAAGGGGAAAAGAGAAATCCATAGCCATTGGCAGACAAATCATAATTTCTGGTGACCATGCCATTGCTCCCTAGGCCAAGAAACATCAATTATCTCCTGCTTCTACTGGGTCTCCAGCAACAATCTCTGAATAGAGCAGAATGTACCCAGCTACCAATCCAGCTTGTGGGATTTTTCTGTATAAAGAAAAAATAATGTATTATGAACCCACTGACAGGAAATTAACAACAGATGAGGTAAATTTATCTCTCAGCATGTTTTCCCCTGCCCTAAACAACCCAACAGCTGGCTTCACATACACAAAAGTTTCATAATGTTCACAGGGTACTGACAGAGTCAGCCTGACTGTCTGCCCGTCTAGCAAAAGCACTCCAGCTCTGTGCAACACAGCTGAGTTGGGATCATTCCCCTTTGCAATGTGGGCTGTGCACATGCACATCTGATACCAGGGTTGCACAACTGCTGCCAAGCAAAGACCATGGCACAAGTTGGGGAACGTTGCTCCCAGGAAGGACTCTCTGCATCCAGCCAGTGATTCAACACAAGTGCCTTGGTAAAATTAAGCCCAGGCTGAAGTCCAGCCAAAGTCAGTGGGGTAGGTTCAAGTGATTTGCTGAATAAAGATGGACTTAAGCACATGCTTGAAAGTTAAACAAGTGCTTTGCTCAGTCAGGGCACTTGTAACAGAGACCAGAACATGTCCCTTTGCTCACTGAACTAGCGATAAAGCCAATTTCTACAATATGATTCTTGGGAGCCAGGGCAGCCACAGCCTCAGATGCCATGGCAATGGACATTTAAACAGAACAAAACCCTGCATCCTCCAAATCAGATCCCCGCGAGTGGATCCTACAAACCTTGTCTTTTCCTGCCCAAGCGCAGGGCCACTGGATCCAGTGACCTGTCAGGTCTCTTCCAGCCCCTAACCGCTCTGAAATTATGAAACTATGGTTTTTGCAACCCTGTACCTGGGTATACGTGTCAGCCACTACAGGCCGGATTGCCAGACTGGGGAACCTGAACAGACAGAGGTAATTCAAGAAGTACACTGCTGATGAGTTCTAGGAGTAAAATTCCCTTTCTCTTCCAGCTGCAAAAATCATCGTGGCTTCACAACGGACGGCACAATTTTCTGACAGACAGCGTAGGTTGAAACACCCATCCGTGCATGTTTTATTTAACCACAATTTGCTCACAGAAGTAACAAAACACATTTTTTTACTATGGGGAAACAACATTTTTCTTTACTCTTTGTTCCCTCCCTTCTTTCCCCCTCCACTCCCCCCAGAAAGTCACCATGGCTAAACTGCTGGCAGAAGTTCTCAAGTTCCCCTTCACTTTGCCATTAAATGCCTTTTCCCATTTTTGTCCTGCTTCTGTCATAAGCCTGTTGGACAGAAGCTCACAGAGACAGTGAAAAAGGAGTCATTCTCTGGTGGCTGAGCTATTGGCTTTGAAGTAGTCTACTTTGGCTGCCTCCGATTTAAAAAAAAAAGAAGTTAAACCTTAAGTCTGACTCAGTTCCTAAAATATGTCTACATCATTCAACCAGGCGTTTATATTATAGTGTTTACAGACTGGAAAGACTGAACAGGAATTGAGTTCATATTCCTCTATATAAACAGAATCCAGTTTAAAACACACAGACCGCCAGTAGCCTCTTCCTGATCTTCTCCTTGCCTCACCTCACCTTGCTTCACTTAACACGTCTCCCCAAAGTTGCAGAGCCTTGCTCCTTTCAAGCAGGCTAAGACATGACTTGCATCCCATCGTGCTGTGATATTATGCTGCACCTGTGAATAACTCTGATCCCTCTACAGCAGAAGTGGGCAAAATCTGGCCCGTGGCCCAAATCCAGGCCTCAGAGGGATTTTGTCTGGCTTGCGGCAGGCCCCTCCGTCCTGCTTGGCCCAGGCGCTGGCTTTTTTCTGGCTGCCTCCACCACCAGCCCCATGGAGAGGGGCTGGGACCCTTGCACGAGCAGAGCCCGAGCCCCAGGCTGAGAGCGCAGGCCCAGCCCTGGTTCGCCCCACTTTGGGGGACTGGGTTCCCTGCAGTGCCTGCTTCGGACCCACCTGCCCTGGCCATGATGAGCAGCGGTGGCAGCTGGGTAGGAGCTGCTGGGTGCTGGGAAAAAGTGGGGCCTGGTGGCAAGTGTGGCTCTGTCCCCCTCACTGCTGCTGGGTCCTTCTTGCTATGGTCACCCAGAGCTTTCCTCCCCGCCACTGCTGGCACCAACACTGGCTCCTGGCTGAGCTGGGCCCCTGCACCCAGAAAGGCTGGGGTGGGGAGAAGAACCCCAGTGCGGGCTCTGGGTGGCAAGAAAGGCCCAGCAGTAGCGAGGGGAGGGAACTGCACCTGCCACCAGGTCCTGATTATTCCCAGTGCCCAGTAGCAGCTTCTGCCTGGCTGCAGATGGTACTCATTGTGGCTGGGGTGGGTGGGTCAGGAGTGGGCACCGTAGGGATCCCATCACCCAGGGCTGGAGCTGTGCACTCAGCCTGGGGCCGGGTAGAAGCTGCTGCTGGACACTGGGAAAAAGTGAGACCTGGTTGTGGACACAGCTGCCTCCCCCTTACCATTGCTAGGGCCTTCTCACTGTGGCCACTCAGAGACTGCCATAGCAGTTACCCTGTGGCTCCTCCCCACCACCCCACTGGGCCCGGGGTGGTTTGGAGGCAACGCTGGGGGCGATGGCCTCGGCTGGACTGCCTCTGCTGAAGCTGCTACCCACCTGCGCCCACATCAGCTCCCTCCCCAGCCATGGGCCCATCTCACATAGTGAGGTTTGGTGAGCAGTTGCATGGGTGGGTCAGGGTGTGTGTGTGTGGGGGGGGGGGGCTCCCTGAAACTCCCTGTGTGGCCTACGGGCCCAAATAATTGCCCACCCTTGCTCTAGTGTAGCCCATTGTTGAAAAAGCTGTCTGCTGAAGAACAAGCAGCCAGAGAACAATCTCATTAAAAGGTGCTGTATGGTCAAACATTGTTCTGCGGATCCTCAATAAATCCCTGCTGATTACAGATGTCTTCTGTCTGCCAAGTTGGGACAAATATGATTTGGGTGTTTTCTTTTCTCAAAAGCAGCCCCTCCAAGCCTTTCCAGTCCAAGCTGCTTTTCCTTTTCCATTTACCATGCATCGTCTCCTGTTCATTTTCATCCTGTGGTGTCAGTATTGCCCACTCTGATCCAGTGGTAGGCAATCGTACGTGAAGCTGTTCCTTTGCCAGTCTGCACTGTGCTGAAGGTCTGGACTTTTATGAAACAAAGCAGAGCCTGGGGCAGTTGGAGTAATTAAATGCAAGGCACCTTTTGAGTCTCAGAGGAAGGAGATATGGAAAGAATGGGATCTTGCTGGTCAGAGATGGAGGGGATCTATGAAAGCAGAGTTTGATACCTGCCTCTTAACTTTGACTCAGCAGAGGACTCTAGTTTTGAAGGTAATGGTGCCATTAAGGTTTCCAACATGCTTTGGTTGGACCATCAGCTAATGACAGACGGTGCCAAGTGATCCCGCTTTGTTGCATGCTTAAGACATCTCTTTCTAGCAATGGCCGTTTAAGTCACCCTTGATCCTGCCAGAGTGTCTGACAGAGTTGTTTACCTTTATTTTCAAGTGAGAAATAACTGCAGAATCTCAGATACCTCTGGGTTATATGTGTGTCCATGGTAATTTGATAACTGGAACCACAGGCACCTCTTGTAACTAATCCTAATCCATACTGTAGATGCAACTTTGCGGGTGCTCAGAACCACTGTGAATGAGACCTGTGACTCCCATTGACATCAGTGGGTTCTGGTAGTACTCAGCATCCTCAAACAGCCGGACCACAGATGCTTCTTCCTCTCCCCTCCTACTTCCTTTCCGCAGAGACACTTAATGGCCAGAACGTGGTACAAATGAGTGGATCTGTCACAACTGAAGGCTTAGTGCAAATTTTCTTTAACAGCATGGGTGATGTGTGTCCCTCTTAAAATTTCAACTCAGCTTCTTTCACTATAACTGGCAATGCAATGGAAAAAAAACACCTGACCTTGCTGTATTTCATTAGGGCTAATTTTGTACTGAATAGCTTTGTGTGTATAGCTAAATTACAGAAAGTAGTGTAGATATGTATATCTGTATGCTGTGCAAACAGTATCCTAGCTACATACATAATATGTATATGCAGATAATAAGTCTCTCAGTATATTCAAGCATGTATACGCCCC